AGCCACCTTTATGAATCAGGCATTAAGGAATGACACTGAAGGTAGGCATAATCAAATAGCTGTAGAGCTCATGCTATTTACAGTTGAGAGGTATGTTACGATACAATCTAGAATAGCACAATATAACAGAAAGATAATGCAAGTTGTATACATGCTAAAAATATCTAAAACCACAAAAGAGGGAGAGAAAAAAACAGTAATGGCTCACTTAACTCGGTAAGGCAGGAGTTATCATAGCAACATGCAGTGGTCTTTAAAGAGACTGTCATCGCCTTCACTAAAAAACCTTCCAAAATCCCCACATCTCTTCCCTTACAGCACCTCAATATAGTGCAGATAGTGCAGATCAAAGTTCTGCTTTATTAAGACAATCCACCTGACTTGTAAGGCTGTATCTTAACTATGTTTTACTAGTAAAAGCCAGCTCCTTCTTATACTTAGAAATCAATACATCTTCCCCTCTCTGAATTGTCTGTTCTTTAAACAAACCTCAAAGACTATGCTACTATGAAAAGTAAACACTAAGAATAATGAATTTAAAACATCTGATTATACTCATGTTCTAACACTCTCCTAAAAACTCATTCTTTAAAAGTGAGCAGAGTAAACTATGAATGGGCATATGTTATGATTCAAGTTTGAGAAGAAGCTATGAGAACAGCCACAATACAATTAAGGTCCCACACAGTGCGGAGCACACCTTCAGTTCTCAGAGGTGAGCCTATCACCGGCACTTAAAACATTCAATGCCAGACGCCCAACTTTTGTTTAAAGCAAATTTATTTTCCAAATACAGGCATGTATTTTCTCATAAATGTGTCCAATGTTGCTTTTCAGGTGCATTCTTTAAAGAACTGCTCATCTTTATGACTAATATATATATATATATATATATATATATATATATATATATATATATATATATATATACACATATATCACACATATATAATTACATATATGTGTGTGTTCAGGATTTTTTTTTTTTAAACGCTTTCCTAGATTTTGCCTGTGGTCTAATTCCCAAGCAGAAGTATGAAAAGTCAATAGTTATAAAGAGAAACACACTCTATTGGTTTGGGCTTCTGGGTTTCAGAAGCTTCAGTTTCACTGACTCCATCCTAACACAGTGCCTGATGCATGTTACTTTCTTGACAGTATTTCTTGAATGAACAACCAAGTAACATGCATTGAGCATTAACACATGTACTGATTCATAATGAAACATGAAGAGACCTTTCAATTAGGTGACCCTAGAGTGTACATGAAAACTGCAGCTAAGTTACAGCTGAGAAAACACTACCCTCACACACTCTAATTGAATGCACCACCTCTTAGGCACAGATATTATCATCCTCGTTTAATAAATAAGGAAGATGGGCCAAATGTGGCTGAATCATATAATTAGTAAAGAGTGGAGCCAAAGAGCCAAACAAAATAGAGTGCAGTTGTGTTTACAGACGTACACAAAAGAGATGAGATGGAAAGAGCTACAACGGGATGTCTTGTTTATTAGAAAAACTGTACTTCATACTTCTCTTTCAATACTTTTCCATTACAAAAGCCTTTGAAGAAAACCACAATGGATAATTCTATCCCTCCCTCTCCCCACAGGACACACAATGCATTTTTCTAAGAAATGTAAAACTATCTGAAATACTCGTATACGCCGTGTTTTAAAACTTAGTCAAGCATTCAAGAGGGACCCAAGTTCTCTCTCCAAGGTGGGTCTCATCGGGAAGGGCAGCATCCCCCACCAACCCCGACCTAGACTAGGTCTTCCCTAGACTCCTCCCACGCCTAGGAAAGAGGCGGCGCCCGGCCCGGCCCAGGGGCGCGGTCGTCCCCATCCCTCAGGGCAGCAGGCCCGTGCCCCAGCCTACCTGACAGGCTCCCGCCACCGCTTGAACAAGTTGCAGCAGTTGGCCATCAGACTGAACATCCCAGGTCTCTCCTCCCGCCACCTCCCATCCGAGCCTTGGGCGGGGAAGGGCCCCGAGCTCCCCGGCCCGGCTCAGGGGACCCACGTCCCCAAAGTCCCCAAGGGTGGACTGGCCGGGAGGACAGGCCGGGAGGGACCAAGCGCAGGGTCGGGCCCCTAACCGCGTCCGCCCGCTGCCCGGGACAGCCCGGACACAGGCACAGGAACAGGCTCAAACTCAGGCGTTAGTGGGACTCCGGAGAAAAGCCCCGCGTCGACGTGCTGACGTTCCCAAAGCTCGGAAGGCCCGCCCCCGGAACCGCCTTTAACACGCTCCTCCAATCAGAAGCTGAAGACCCACGTCCGGGCCTTCCGAGAGGCTGAGGACTCCTGGCTCCCCGCCCCCTGTCAAAGGGTGAAAACAGGAAGTGGGCGTGGTTTAGAGGAACAAGGCGGAGCTCGAGGAAGGTGGCTTTGGTAACTAGGCAACCGGAGCGTCTATAGCTAAATCCAGGGTTTCTGGAGAGATTTCACATAAACCCTGTCCATTCCCAATCAAAATGCATTATCTGCCAATCTTGCTGTTTCTCATTCATCTCCAGTAATTCAAATGAGACCTGAAGATATCTGGTCATCTGCGTGGCTTGTGTTGTGTTGTGTTGTGTTGTGTTGTGCAGTAGGGATGGTGATCCTCTGGGGTTCAGGCCAAGTTAGGCTGAAGAACTCACGAACTATACACCAAAGCAATTTTAAATTAAAGACAAACATGGAAAACTCGTTTGCTAAATTGTCTCAACAGTTCAAATGGGAATACTTTTAATCTGATATCTACCACTATTATATAAAAAATATGAACAGTAATATTTCTTGTAAGAAGTTAAGATAAAAAAGAAATATGTGCGTGTGGAAGAATATGCAAACAAAAAGGGACAAGATGAAAATATGTGTGCACATGACCCTCAAAGATAAGCAGTGGTGATATTTTAATGTATGTTTTTCTGGGGCTTTTAGCTATATAAAATCATGGCCATTTGGTTTTTGAATTTCAAGATTGTGAATATGCTGGCCCTTTTGCAATGCTTCATTTTTAAAGGTGTATTTTATGCCTTATTTATAATATGTTTATTGAGGGAAAATGGCAACTAGCTTCCAAAAACTGTATGCATTAACATATAAATCCATGTTTATTCGATTTCTGATTAAAAGGTAGATAGGTAGATGATTGATAGATGTAGATATATAGAAAGATAGGTAGATGATAGATAGGAAGAAAGAGAGAGAGAGAGTTGATAGACATTTCACATCACAGCAGAAGCAAAGAGACCACTGGAAAATCACAGTATTCAAGGGGAAAAACTTATAGTCTAGGGCTAAGCTAGTTTTAAAGTAGTTCTATTCTAACGCATGAGCTTGCTGACTCTGAACCTCTGTAGCCCTCCTTTAAAATGGAAATGGAAACCTGTCAGGTCACAAGCTTACTGAGATGGTGACAGAGATAAAGCTCAAGGCAATTTCTGAGAAGCAAAAGCAGGCTTTAAAATTACTGTCACTTGTCTCATAAGCATTTACATTACACCAAAGCCACTATCTTCTTATCCACAGAGTGGAATGGAAGGTCAGGGAAGGATAATGAAAAGGGTTTACTTTTAAGTATCAGTCATTTTAACAAGGGGGCTGATCACTCAGTTTTCACAATCTACCCTCTGTAACTTTCAACAACTTTACAAAGCACTCTTGTCGGTGTCTATTCTTCATCCAGACTATGATTGAGTTTCTATCCCACCAAACCATGCCAAACAAAAATTTAGATGAAACTCATGTCTTCCTAAATTCTTCCCCCTTCTTACTTTATCTCAGTTCTTCAAAAAAAAATTGCTGTCGTTGTTGTTGTGAGTGCGCTCAACACAGTAAGATTTATTGCACATCAGCACTTTCTGCTCCTTGGTGTTGTGGACCAGGTTGAACTTCCCCTTTCCTTATAAGGTCTTGTCTAGCAAGTACCTGGAAATCCTCTTCATGCAAATAAGGCATCCTGATCGCAGCCTATCACACTGTGAAGAGCAGGGGGTGGAGATGGAGTGGATCCTAAAAGATGGTTCTAGGCACTGGGCGCATACCTGTGAATCAAACATCACAAAAGAAAATCTTCCCTCATAAATTTTATTGTTCAGAAAGGATAGTAGAAGATTAAGAAATGTATTAGTTGCTTTATAGGGGAACAGATTTAGCTAATGAGTTAAAGTTTGGAGAAGTTTTGTTTCTATATATGGAAGTATACTCAAATCAAATTTCAGCTCTATATAATTAGTAAATGCATTAATCAATACTTAGTTAAAGCCAGATGTCAATATTGAATTAAAGCTGGAGTGAACTTTTGAGATAATTTTAAAACCAAAATATTTTACTATTTTATTTCTTCTCCAGTTTCCATATTGAATATTTTAGCTATTATTTAAGTTTAACATTATGTTGAAGGAAGCAGTTGTTTCACATTTACTCTGACACTAGAGTGTATTTCTGAAACTTAAAAGGCAATCCCCTTCAAGCAAAGAAATTGAAAGTTTCTTTTTCTTTTTCATTTCCTTGAAATGCCTCTCTTTCTTTAACATTTCTATCTTGGGCTCTCTCTGTTGTTGTTGGTATTGGAAATGACACTCAATGGAATGCTGCTGATTTTTAATTCAAGAGCTTTACCTTTTGTGAGAAATTTTGAGATCTCAAAGTTGACAATATCCTTTAAAATTGTCCTCACATAATGAAGAGATTCCCAAATGGAGCATTCATCAAAGATCCCAGGCATATGTGCATTTGCATACTAAAGAGTAAATACTGTACTTAGAGCTTCTTTTGTTTAATGTAATCCAAATAGCTCTAACGGATTATGTTTATACTTATATTTGAACCACCTGTGGTTGAAAATAAAGTGGCAAATATATTGAACTGGTGGAATCAGAGGACCCAAAAGGAAGATAATTTTTTAAAGGCAGGGGTCACAAACATACTGGATAATTTGTATTTTACTTAATTCAAAAGATTAGAACATGAAACAGTAACATATACTACTTTGACATATAGGAGTGTCTATTGGCCTGGATTTCACCCATCCAGAAAGGAGCTGTAGGTGTTGAATTGAGGGTCCTGAAGCTGGGGGTGATGAATCTCCCTATGGACACAACACAAGCTTCCAGATATTTTCAGTGAATGCTGGTGTTTTGGGGGACATTTCAAACAAAAGCAAATCAAACCCCAGCAGAGCCTGGTATGGTGTTGCACACCTTTAGTCCCAGCCCTTGGGAGAGAGGCACAGGTAGGCAGATCTCTGTGAGTTTAAGGCTAGTGTAGTCTACAAAGTGAGTCCAGGACATCCTGGGCTCTTGTTATACAGAGGAACCCTGTCTGCAAGAACTGAAAAACAAAAAACAAAAACAAAAACAGCAGAAGTAGTGGTTTTTGTAGTTCTCTGTCAACTGCCTTGAGTAAAGTATGAGTTCCTGAATTTAGAAAGAAAATTGTGTCAGTCAACTTTTTGTCCTAAATGAAAAACAAACAAAACAATAAAAAATGCCTGAGGATAAATGTAAAAGGAGCAAATGCTCACTTTAGACTCACAATTTTAGAGGTTTCTATAGTATAGCCCTTGGCTTGTGATGGCACAATGCATTATGGGAATATTTGTACTGGAAGAAAGAGGCTAAAATGGCTGCTTACCTTATGGTTACTGGTTACTAAGGAGAGAATGAGAGAATTCCAAGAAGACAATCACAGAGACCTCCTATTAGGCCCAAGTGCTGATGTATTTACCTGTAATGTCACCACAGGCTAGTGACAAAGCCTTTAACCCAGAAGCATTTGAGATACAACTGAGTTTGGAACTTTAAGGGCTGTAGAGATGGCTCAGTGTTTGAGCGCTTGTTGCTCTTCCAGAGGACCTGGGTTGGATTCCAGTACTAACATGGAGGCTCAAAATCATCTGTAACTCCAATTTCAGGAGACCTGATGCCCTCTGCAGGCACATGGTGCATATCCACAGGCAAAACTCATACTCATTAAAATAAATATTTTTGCATCTGTACACACACCTGTAATCCCAGCACTCAGGGAGGCAGAGGCAGGCAGATCTTTGTGAGTTCAAGGCCAGTCTGGCCTACAAAGAGAGTCAAGGATGGCCAAGGCTAAACAGAGAAACCAGTCTTGAAAAACCAAAAACAATTTAAATTTTTAAAAAGACCCAAGCTACAACAGAAACTTACACTCATAAAGAAAATTTTGATTAATAAAAGTTCAATCATACCAGAAGGAACAAATCCCAGAGACAACTTTTGTTGCCTGAGAGACAATAAGACAAACCCATCCCTTTTGATCATATATTTCTAGTACTTGTGTTTCCTTCACTTGTCTTCTCCCTATTTTCAACCTCCTTTGCTGGAAGCCTCAAATTCCTTTTTCATAGCTTAAGTTGTTATATGTCCAAATCATCTGACCACCTCCTCGAATCTCCCAACCTTGTGAAATCTCCCAACCACTGCATTCATATGTAACTAAATATTATTTTCTCCTCTTAGTCTCTCATGCATTAATTTAGTTAAACAAGGTACAGAACATGGAAGGGTATAGTATAAGAGTTTTCCTTCCTTTTATTGAATGAATGGAAATTTCTCGAACCATTCTCTTATCAGAAAAATTGACTCCAATATTAGTCATCTTGCATTCAGCTGGATCACAAAATCATTGAAAGAAAAAGCAAGCAAGCAAGCAAGAAAGAAAGAACAGAGAAAGAAAGAAAAGAAAAGAAAGAAATCTGGAAGTAATCTTTGAACAATCATTCTACTTAGTATGTTTCCTTCAAACACAGAAAAATCAATGTTTTATTCAGACAAAAATGAACAATAATATATGTGCATTGAGCAATACTATTAGACATAACCTTATGCTTCTTGTAGCATCTTTAGAAAAATCTCACATCAACACTGTGACAACCTGTTTACTCTTAGCTCTGTTTACTCTTTACTCTTGGTCTTGGTAAGACCAAGTATTATGCTTTAGACCCAGGCAGCAGCAGCCTAAGGCCTGACAAAAACTGAATGGTAATACTTAACACCAAAACAAGCTGCTTGGAGGAAAGGCACTGTGGGTGATCAGACCATTCCATTTTCTTCCTCCCCCTCCCACCCATTACTTCTTATCTATCTGAGCACTCTTCTTCCTAAAGTCCTCATTGGCTTTTGTTCAGGTTGACATCTTGACATCCTGATTGTCACTGTTTCTGGACAGGGAGAGTGAGCAAAGGAAGAGAGGACGGAGGAAGAGAAAGAATGGGAAAGGGAGAAAAGGAGAAGTGGGAGAAAGAATAGGAAATGAAGAGAAGGGGAGAGGGAGAGAGGAGGAAGGGAAAGAACGGGAAAGGGGGAAGGAGAGAAGGCAGGAGAGAGAAGGAGGGAGGGAAGGAGGGAGTAGGAGGGAGGGCGGTCTTTTCTTCACCCTTTGAAAACTTCACTTTTTAAAGAAAGAAGTAACTGCAGGACCGCGACAAAGGACCTCTGATAAGCTTTCCAGGCCTCCGAACTCACTCCCGGAGCCCTCCCCCTTCCCGCTCCCACAGCTGAGAAAAGCTTCCAGGAAATGTCCCAGTCATCGCTTCCCCTCCCGGGCTGGGGGCTGGGAGCGGGCGGTCCCCTCCGCCGCTGGCTGCTCCGCCCGCGCTCACACTGGGCCAGAGCTAGAAGAGCTGAGCCCGGGCTCGCAGCTCCCATCGACCGAGTGCCGGCTCGGGTCCCTGCTGCGCCTGCCCTGACCTCCGGCCGCCCGCTCAGCAATGAGGGTCTTGAGTGCGCGCTGTCGCGTGCTGCTGGCCTGCGTTGTCCTGGTGCTGCCAGTCTCAGAGACAAACTGTAAGTAATCCATACCTCCAGGTTTCTCTTGTCTACGTGCTTGGGCTGGTAGGGTTTTCTGGTCCCCTGCCGCTTGCTGCCTCCAATAAGTTTCCAATAAGTCCCCCAGGGGCTCAGAAAGTAGTGGCAGCCTGGGTCTAGCCAAGGGTGTAAAGGTGGGACAGGATTATAGCTTGCCTTGTTTTGAGAACCATTATCCACAGGACTGATGCAAGAACCTGGGTGACACTAAGGGTCAAAGGAATTGGATGAGCATAGTCCCAAACACTGATAAGCCAACCTTTGGTGCCCTCCCTTTTATAAAAGAGTGTCCCAGCCTGCACCCTCCTTTGCATCTAACCTTCCTTTTGCAGGTTCTGGACTTTGACCTTGATTGGTTTGTCTCACAAGCTATTTGAGAATTAATACCGTTTTACATATCATTCTCTAACCTTAGTATAAGAAATGGCTGTTGGATATTATCTTGTACCGAGGATCATTTTATATCGAGTGTTTTGACTGCTATGGATCTGAGTTGGTGGCACTAATTCTTTGCCTCTTTATGTTTGAGTTTCTTGAACTTTCCTCTTCCATTCTCAGATTCCAGGCAGCATATCGAGTTTTCTCTTAGAAATTTATAAAGAATAGCAAGGATTTAGTACGTTTTCATTTAAATTTATTTTTATGCTTTAGTACGTTTTAATTATCAATTAAATTGTTTTCAGAAGCTTAAATGTGTTCATAATTAACACTGTTTTCTTTTTCTCTATTGTATTCCCAGAAACTGGCAGGGAAGCAATAAGTTCATAGCATAAGAAATACCATTAGGCTACCAAGAGCACCAAAGAAACTTTTCAAACATGGTAATTAAATAGGAGAATGTTAGTATCCCATGTTTTTATTCATTAGTAAGGAGGTGAGACAGTATTTTTAAAGCTACTCCTAACTTAAAGACCAGAATGTGGCTTGTTCACTTTATGTTGGAGATAAACAAGTTACAGTTGCAAAATTTCAACAATCAGACTCTTATGATGAAAGCTGCATGTGACTGTATGCCTGCACATGATTTATCTTGCTCATTAGGACATCCAAATAGTTTCAGATAGCAGCAGGGCAGCGGTGGGGCACACACCTTTAATCCCAGCACTTGTTAGGCAGAGGCAAGCAGGTCTTTGAGTTCAAGGCCAGTCTGGTCTATAGGATGAGTTGCAGCACAGCCAGGGCTACAGAGAAACCCTATCTCAAGAATAGATAAACAAACAAACAAACAAATAAATAAATAGAAAGGTAAGGCAAAGAAAGAAAGAGAAAGAAAAAAAGAAAGAAAGACAGAAAGAAAGAAAGAAAGAAAGAAAGAAAGAAAGAAAGAAAGAAAGAAAGAAAGAAAGAAAGAAAGAAGGAAAAAGCTGGTGTTTTGAAAAAGAGCAAGAAAATAGACAAGTTCATTCTACAAGGACATCACAGAAAGAATATTTGTGCCTATGATGACCATAGCCTTTCTGGTTGTTACCTAGATTAAAAATTGTCTCTGGTTTACCAACGAAGAAGAAGACACCTACAAGTGGTTTCTCTTCCCTAAGACGTTGATTTTTTGTTTTGGGGTCACAAAACAGAAAGAGGTTTCATTGTGGCACTTAGAATTGAATACAGGGCTATGTGCATGTTAGGCCAATGAGCGACTCTCCCCAAAACCCCAGCTCCAGAAGTTTTGAAATTTAGGTTATAATAAATAAACAGCTGATGGATAGTCAATTGTATGGTCCTAGAAATATTGCTATAATGAAGGAAATCTTTGCCGAGAACAGTTATTTTTGAGAGGGTGCTTAAAAAAAAAAAAAGAAAAGAAAAGAAACAACACAAACCAGAGTCTTTTTCTATAGTTCTGACTTGCAATTCACCTACAGTAACCTGGACCTTCTAAATAATGGGATTAACTTGCTTCTGTCAACATGCCTGACTTTCAAGGTCTTTGCTTTAACAATAAAGGAAGTATTCAGTTATCAACTGACTTTGCAAATGTATTTGCTTGAATAAAAAAACACCAAAATGAAAAAAAATAAGGATTACACAGACACACGCATGCACAAACATACACACACACACACACACACACACACACACACACACACACACAAATAAACCCAAAGAACTTGCATGTAAAATTTACATTGTGTACTTATTTTTGCTCATCACTCATGAAAGCTTGTGGCAAAAAGGGAAATGGGAAGAGGAGGATATCTACTTTTGGAAGGCTAATTTGGTCTTATCCAGACTTCCCTTTTGAGTGGATGCAGTCTACTCTGTTCATTATTGACCCATCTTTTCTACAAGTTTTTGTACTCACCTCTGTCCTTTGCTACTTCTTCTCTTTGCCATGAGTTTATCCTTCCTTAGAGTTTCTTTACATCAAAATCCATACTGCTACACTAGTGTGCATCAAGAGTTAATTTCTGATACAGCAATGGTGATAATAAAATCTATGTTATATTCATGCTTCTTCCGTGAACTCTATGTCAGCGAAGGCAGAGATGTTCTTCACGTGGACATTTTATGTCCACTAAGTTTCATATCTTCTTTGTATCTTGAGTGAGCTATTTAAATATGTAAGCTTTCAAAATAATATGAGACGCTTATTTATATACATTAAATATTAAATGTACTGTAAGATGGACATAACCTTTGAGGCCCAGGAACAGAATGGTATACTTCAGATCTTAAATTTACTGATATATATATATATATATATATATATATATATATATATATATATGCCAGTATATTTAAATTATGGTCTTGATCTAAGAGTAACAATAATGAATTTTTCCACACTAAAGATAGGCAGGAATGTCTTAGCCACGCTTAGCCATTATGACAACATACATGAGAAAATCAACTAAAAGAAAAGGAAGGGTTTATTCTGAGTCATGTTTTTTGAGGTTGCCATTTTTGAGGGAGGCATATGTTAGGCAATAGATGTGGCATACAGGATGCAAAAAGAAAGCTCATTTTTATGGTACATCCCCTCTCCTGAAACCTATGAAACTGTGAATTCAAAGCCTTGGCCAAATGCTTTCATGGCCTAATGACTTCCCAAAGGCCCAGTTCAGAGCACTGCTTTCTTAGGGCATAAGTGATCAATGCATGAGCTTTTGTAGAACTTAACTTCTGAAATATAACAGTGTCCCTGTGCCTCAAAGACCCATGCCCATCTCACAGTGCAGAATGCATCAGAATGTACTAGCCTGTCTTTATGAGTCTTTGTGTCTTACCAGTTCCATCACTACCCAAAAGCAAAAGTTCCAAAGTTCCAAAGCAGACTCATAGATACAAACTTTAAAATTCAAAACAAGTTACTTACATCCAATATATGCAAGTGTACATGGGACACACTCCTATTCCAAATGAGAAGAGCTGTAAAACAGCGTGGCAGAATTTATTTGAAGCAAGACTGAAAACTTGAAGGGCAACATTGAGATTGATAGTTCCACGTCTGTCATCAGAGCATGATGTTATGCTATGAGACCTAAAGGCCACCCTCAGGACTATACTGACTTAAGACTTTATGGTCATCCTCTTGGCCAGGCTGTGCTTGCGATCTGCAGCTCTCTTTGGTAGGAGTGATATGTCACAGGTATCTCTGATGTCCTGATGTCACTGATGTTCCTTTGGCTCCACTTTCACAGTTTCAGGACCTTCAGGGTCTGCTTACAAAACATCAAACATGCTACAAAGTGCACACCCTTTTAGATTTTCCTTTGAAATCTCAGTGGGACTCCTGAAATCTATATCTACAAAGGCACATGGATGTCATCAAGTTGTGCTAATAGCAAGATCAGTAGCTACCTCTCAACCCACCACAACTACACTGAATTCTTTAGTGATTTAATGACTAAGGTGAAATACTGAGGAGATAATTTCTTAACTGTGGGACCCAGAACACCAGGGATTCATTTCTCAAATAAAAGGCTTGTATTTACCCACCTTTCAACCCATAAAAGATGGATCTTCCTGATTCATGAGATTATCTCAAGGCATTATCTTTCCAACTGTCCGTGTAAAAAGTGCTTGGATTATTTTTAATGGTGCTAATCTCTTTATAGTCCCCATCAGCATCAACTTAACCTTACAGGCCATTCTTTGCTAGCCAAACAGCAAATTTCTCAAGTCTTTCTGCTCTGATTTTGTTTCCTGAGTCTTACTGTAAATCTAGATAAATCAAACAGCAATACTGAAGCCACATCTAGATGCAAGATTCCTTGGAATTTCTTCCAAAAGGCTAACTAGTGTATCATTTTAAGCCTCCCTTCATATACGAGTTATAAAATATGGGAGAAAATTAGACAAGTTCTTTGCCAGAATGTAGCATAAATGGGCTTTAGTCCCGTTCCCAAAGCAGTCTTCACTTTCTTTTGAAACCTTTCTAGCCTGGTCTTTACATTAGATCAACATTTTGATCTTCTGAGGTTCTTCCAGAATCACTCATTAAGCTCCACCAACCATGTATACCTTTTCTACACTCTTTCCCCAGAATATTTCAAACTGTTCTAAACTATCATTTATAATCACAACAATAGCCCCAGTTTCAGTGTCAAGTTTCTTGTTGTCTTTCTATTACCGTGGGGGGGAAAATGCAAGGAAATCAACCAGGATAAGGAAAGATTTGCTTGGGCTCATGATTTCAGGCCCTTTTGTCTATGGCCATTTGGCCTTGTTTCTGCATCACTAATACAGAAGCACTGTTCACCTTGCCTTACTGAGGTTAGGAAACAAAAGGGAAAACTTGGTTTATACTGCGTCCCACAACCCATCTGTTGGTTAATCCACTGAGGAAGCCAGAACACTCACCAATCACATACCAAATACTCCAACCTGCACATTGCTGCTTTGGGGACCAAATCTTCAATGCTTGAGTTTTTCTGGTAAACCATAACAAGGAAGAAATCAGAGAAGGTTGGAAAAATTACAAGGATTGCTCAGAAGGAGACAGAATGGTGTGTTATCAGCCATGCATGGTAAAAGCA